ACGGTAAAGCTGGGGGTCTGCAATTTTGCACATATACATCTTGTCTGTGCCTGACCACGCTATAATTTTTTCAGAATTTTGGGATCACCCTGGAGCGAGTTTTGACAAACACGGTTCAAGACCAGGCCATAACTCGAGAGTGGGCGGGGCTAAGGGGGAGGGGGGCTATTACAAAAAAATTCTCCAGGTCAAACTGGTCCGGGGGGAACTTTGCCCGAGGGGCAGGGGTTGATGCGGGTCCCGGTAGGGCGGGGTAAAGATTCTTGGGTGAGCCTATTTAATTTTCCATTTTCCATTTCCATCCATTTCTCACCCAATAAATAAGAGACTTTGCAATATATTGTATCGGCGTGCAATATATTGCACGGAATATTAGGTCGTTTCAAAAGCAATTTCGCTTTCTTCAAACGGGGGCCACATTTGATGAAACAAAGGTTTTTAAGAGATCTTGATAGCATTCGATGCAACATCTCACCCTCTAAGGGTCATGAAATTGCTGCAAGATAGTCAATAGCTTTCAGAAAATAACCAAAGTCTGCGACCTATGCTTTTTGAGATAGTCAAGTTTCACAATTCTTTAAAACTTTCATAACAATCCTCAGAAGGAGTTTAAGTAACGATTCGATAGAGTAAACCGTATAGAATACAGTACCACTTTTTTCCGCTTTTTCCTAGCTCGCCGTAATTTTTTAAGAAATTTTTAAACAAAACCATCGGATTTTGGCATAAGTACATCAGCCACAACCGCATCAAACATCATAATTATTGGATTTTGAGACTACCAAGATGATACTAAGAGGTAGCATTAATTTTACAGTGCAAGTGAGAGTTTAGGGGCTCGAAATATCATTTTTCGAGTTTTTCGGGTGCAGCCTGGGGCTCACTAAAAAAATGAGTTATGATGATTCTATCCCCGGAAACGAAACGACTCGGATTAAAAAGACCCGTCAGAGAGAGGAGAAAATGCTGCATCGAATAGTGACCGAGCTGGTCTTCTTTTGATGTTTTACGAGGATTTGTCCAAGCATGGAAATCGGTAGCATCAGTTAAGATTCTGTTAAAAATGTATGACAAGCTATGGAAAAGAGTGAAAAGTTGTGCAGTATTCTATAAGTTTTACTCTATCGAATCGTTACTTAAAGAGGATGAGGATTGTTATGAAAGTTTTAAAAAACTGTGAAACTTGACTATCTCAAAAAGCATAAATCGCAGATTTTGGTTACTTTCTGAAAGCTCATTGACCATGTTCCAACAAATTCATAACCAATAGAAAAAGAATGAAATGCTGCATTGAATGCCTCCAAGATCCCTTAGAAATCTTTCTTCCATCAAATGTGGCGCCCATTTGAAAAAGCGAAATCATTTTTGAAACGACCTAATATTAGGTTGATTCATAATTAATGCACGTCTTCTATACTTCAACTTTCAACCGAGATAATTCTTTCTTGAAAAGACATATCCTAGCGCAATAAAAACTACTGTAACCACCAAATCAGTGGCTATAGAATAGATACTATTGCGTGACTGTATCTATCACAAAAAAGATTTTCTGGCCTGAAGATTGCCAACAACTTTTTTCAGAAGCCTCCACTTTAGAAGAGCATAACTTATGTTGAAATGAAGTAGGATAAAGCAGACTTCGCTCTTGTGTAGCCAAGAGTCTCTTGAGCAATAATGCCAAGTTTGGATTTAACGGAAAATTTTTGAAAGAAAATATCGCGAAAAAATCGAAAGCACTCGCTTCTTTCTGGCATCTCGGCGGGTTCGAAAATCGGTCATTTTGAAATTATTTCGTTTTTCTCCGCTGGAAAGTGGGAAAACAATAGCGCTTTTTCACCATCAAATGAATTACGTCTACCCTTGCTGGATAGTGCAAAAGACCTGCAATCGCCTTTTGCTCAAAAGTTTTATATGGCACGGAAGGGCCGCGACAATCATTCAAGTGCAATTGAATTTCTCGGCTCAGAATTCTTAAAGAATTTTGTTCAAATAGCTTCTTGTAGCACAAATTTTTCTAATCCTTATGCATATTTTTTGAAATTAATCAGGCTATTCCTAATGGATTTAGGGCAAAAAAAGTGAAAAGCAAAAATTTTGGGATTTAGTCTCTTTTATTTGAAGGCTCAGAACTTTGGAATGAACGGAGATTTACGAAAACGAAGGGGCGCATAAGAAACTAAAAGAAACGCTCTTTAAGATAGCGTAAAAAGTTTTTGAGGAAACTGATTACACATCAAATACCAGCTCCTGGAAGAAATGGTGAGAAAAACGTGCATTGATTATGAATCAACCTAATACAATGGTAAATTTTCGCTGGTCAACGCGAATGCATTGGGAGTGAAAAGTAAGTGCCGGGCCAAAATTGAATAATTTTTTGAAAAATCGAAAAAATTGGGGAAATGCTGGGGGAAACGATAAAAAGTATTTAAGCATGCTAGAGCCTTAGTTAAGGTACTTATGAACTTTTAAAAAATTTAAAGTAGTTCTTGAGGGATTTTGAATGCTCGGATATTCCAAAAATTTTAAAAAATTCTAAGATTCTTTGAAAAGTTCTAGAAAAATAGGTAAGTGTCGAGGGGAATTCTAGAAAATTCTAGGATTTTTTAAAGAAGGTATAGAATAATAGATGAGTGTCGCGAAAATAACGTAAAAGGGTTCAAGTGTTGTTGACATCTTGTTTAAGATGGCTGAGGTCTTTTAGAACTAGTAGAATGGGAGTTTTAGAATGTTTACGGGTGTTTGGACGTTCTGAAACTTCGAAAACCTTTAGAATTTTTTCAGAAAGCCTAGCGAAATAGGTGATTGTCTGGAAAAAATCGAAAACCTCTAAAATGTAGAAGTAGTTTGCTTGAGTGGTTGAAAAACTTTTGAAATAGAAATCAGATAGGTTTTCGAGTACTTAGAAGACGTCGAACGTTACGAAAGTTGGAAAGATGCAATTGAGGATGTATCAGAGGCTTTAGTGAAGTTTTTGAAACTTTTGGAAGGTCAATATCAAATAGGTTTTCCAATAATCGAGATTTTCAAAAATATTTTCCTGTCAAAAGTGATTTCGGTGTGATGCTACAGTCACGAAATTTTAAGTCTAATTTATTCTCAACAACTCACAATATAGCGAATCTTCAGGTGATTTTATCATTTTGGAGTTTGTTTGTGAGTTTTTCAATTCCATGTTGATGATTGCGTGAAGAACTTTTAGGTTTTTTTCTGGAATTGTGGAAGGCGAACGTGGAGGTATTGGCCTTCTGAAAATAATATTGGAACAAAGTTACATTAAGACCCTGGAGTTTTTGGTTTTCGGTTTTTTAATAAATTTTCTTTTTGAGACGGTACAAATGGACAATGTTGATGCTTGCTTTCGACATGGCCCAATTTTAGATGAAGTAAGCTTTAAGACATATAGTTGAGACGAAATGTGCTGAAAAATTTAATATTTGTTGTTCGATCGCATGAATATAATTTTATTGCCAACTTGCAGCTTGATATGAGATCTTAAGAGGTAAATATGAAAGTGAGACTCAGTTTGGTACTATGTATGACACACTAAAGACAGCTATATGATACAAATAAGATATGATATAAGCTAGGAGACAGCTGTATAATACAAACAACTATCTAGTGTGCAGGTTGCAAGGCACACGTACTTATGAGAATATTTATTTTGCAAGAGCTGCATAATTTGTTCATGTGCAAGCTTAGGTTTACGGCGTATAGTCTCCCACGGCTCTATTGTTAGTGGCGGATAATGACGGATAAGTGGGCCAGCTTCTAATAACTCCAAGTGCAATGGCATTTCGTCAGCTCTGGCTTCCGCCTGACATTCCTACAAGCAAAATACGAAGTCCTTCATAAGCTATGCGTGCGCAGCTTACCACTCCGTAAATTTCTTCGCCCGCAACTGCTACGCAGCAGCCGTAACGATGACCGCTTTCCTCAAGAAGGCGTGCGCCCAACAAGATAACCAGCAGTTTGGGATCGTTCCGCTTTCGGTACAAAATAAGAACAACCGATTCCATGTGTTCAAAAGCAGCTTCGTCGCTATTTGTAGCAACTGCGCCAAAGGAGATGCAAACTTTACCAGAAACATGGCAGGGTCACGGACCGGCACGAGTCCGTTTCTAGGCTTTTTCAAAACGAAGTCCCCCTTGACTTTTGGGAATTTTTACAAAGTCCCCTTTGACCCTCAACCATATTTCCTCCAAAAACCTAAAAAAATTCCCCAAAATTCCCCAAAAAACGAAACGTCGACTAAAAAAAATCGTGTCTTCGGCCACAAAAACGAAACCCCCTTTGCTTTTTGCGTCAAAAACGAAGTCCAGCCTGCTTCTAGACGATCTGTGCCGGGCCCTGGGCAGGGTCCGGAGATACATCCTATATACATCGATGTAGTTTCATATCCAAACCTGGGTAAATGTGCATACTTACACTTTTAGTGAAAATTGTACGCCTGCTCATTGCAAATGCAGCTCTTGGATCGGCAGCAGGAGTCCTTTCCAGCAGCAATCCTACTGCGCGCGCTTTCTGTGTCACCAGAAATAGAAATTCTCCAATGTCGAATTCAGGCCTTTCATGTAAGCTAAGATCCTCTTCTGAAAGAGACCGCTCAAAATTCCACACTATTTGGACATGGATGCTCCGTCTTGCCGATTGTAGAAACGAAGACGAAGCTGTGTGAATCAGTGTGCATACAAAAATTGTTATTGGAATAAAATATATAAATAACGGAATATTCACATTCTGCTGCAGCCGAATCGCACACTTGACATATGCACGGATAATTGTCTGGGATGTTAGGTATGTTTGGATTTCTCTCCCTTCTCCCATAGTTCCACAGTAACTGCTCACCAGCCTGTAAAACTATTTTCATTGTGCAGAACTTTTCATTATGTATGAGATGATTTTGCTCAAACTTACCATGATATCGCATTTGGCTACCAAACAATGCAACCATCGAACACGACGTGCCAAAGTGAATACAACGTAGCTCTGGATTGCATGCTCTATCGACTGGCTATAAGTCGACCAAGTGTTACTGTTGCCTTGTATGAGTCGCAATGTGCAGGTACGATAAAATCGCAACCGCGTCTTCTAAATCCATGCCAATACTTGATCACTTTACGGCGTTCCTCTTCATTAAATTTTTTGAGAGAATTTTTTACGTCTTCCACCAGTCCTTGATAGCCACTAGATACAAACAATATTATCGTTAAATCAAAAATCTCTTTCATTTCAGAAAGTTCTCTTACCGATAATCGACAACCGCCATTTCTTTAGCGATATCTACTTTGGCGTAAACACCTCGTCCATAAATGGTAAGCATCTCACGCACCTCAAGCCACGGAAAGTCCTTAAACATGCTGTCGTTTCTACTAAACGGTCAAATTCTCAAGATACGCACCTGTAAGCTGTGCATGACTTCGACGTAGAAAATGGTTCTGCTGAGGCACAGTCTCGATCTTTGTCAAACCACCCATGTAAGGTGTTTCATTCAAAGCCTCTAAGTGCAAACTTGGATCGAGAGGCTCAAACCGTCTTTCGAGATCGGTAATCGTGTATCTAGTGGTGTCAGCGACATCAAGGATGGCATGGACGGTTTCACTTGCAGTCGCTCTTGTCACGTCACTCATTATAGGCTCTGCACTTGCTTCGCTAATTTTCGCCGTAATCTTGAAATTCAGCTTACTGATTTTTTTCTTTCTCTTTTTCTTCTTCTTCATGGTCTTCTTCATCTTCTATAACGATATGCTGCACCAACAGTCCCTCATCGTTGTCCGTTGAGGTCGATCGAATTGCTTGAGTGATGAAAACGACGATGCTTGCAGTACCAACGACCCTATGTCACCTTCTTCCAAGCTGACGTTTTCCACCTCTAAGTCCAATATGGAGCTTTCGATCAAGCCTGCAATGCATAGCATAAGGTAGAATTACCAAAACAAACAGCTTACTTTCTCCCGGCACATCTCCCACTGGTGACGACACCCTCGGGCGTTTCCATGGCGATGACTCAGTTTCCGTAAGCGGTTGCGAACTTCGTTGCCTCGTATCTGAAATTAACAACTTAAAATATATGAGCTTCGTATAAAATGTACAAACTTACCAGCACGTAGGATTGACTCAGTTTGTCCATCTCCTTATTTCCTGCGACATCAAGAATTCTCGTTGCTTCTTCCTCATCGCCTTTCTCTTCCACAAGAATTCTCGTTGCATCTTCCTCATCGTCTTTTCCTTCCAGAAAAATTCTCGTTGCTTCTTCCTCATCGCCTTTCTCTTCCACAAGAATTCTCGTTGCATCTTCCTCATCGTCTTTTCCTTCCAGAAGAATTCTCGTTGCTTCTTTCTCATCGCCTTCCTCTTCCACATCATCCTCGTCAAAATCATCCATTTCTAAATCTCCTTCTTCCAAGTCGGCAAGATGTTTACGGCGTTTCAAACTAACATAAGACAACCCAGTAAGATGAGTTTAGCAGATGTAGAATTGTGATGACACAGTTACATCTACTCCGCAAGCTTAAACTTTTTCTTTACTTCTCGAACTAGTTCAGGATATTTAGCGGCCTTTTTTCGTCCGGAATTGCGAATCTTTACACAACCGAAGGCGCAGCTGTATAGGCGCCGTCTCTGATAGTTCATCAGTTGTATTACTTGCGAATGTCCTATAGCAGAGATTACGATGTAAGTTATGCTAAATACAATATACCTGTCTATTTGCACAATCCTTGTCCACTCCTAGCACTTTTGCCATTTCATCTATTTTTTGCTGATAATCATGGTCGTACTGCAAATCTGCTATAGCATGCCTTGTCTGAAGCATAAAAAATCGGAAACGATAGGGAGCAGTTTGAATTAAAAATTAAAAATTAAAATTAAATTAATCGAATTAAACGCAAACTCCGTGTTAGCAACATACCGCGTTACAAGAAAGGTTTAAGTCTCCAAATCCACTATCTCGCAAAAACTGTTTCATTACATGAGGGACGGTCCCCTGATGTATGCGCGTTCCGCAATATTGTAGAAAGAACGGTGCAAGTGGTTCCGTCATTCCTTCCAACTGCTGTTTTTCAATAATGCTGCAAGAAGGGACAAACACCTGTTAGTATGTAAAAAGTATGCTTGATTTGATTTTAACTCACTAATTCCGTAACTTTATATAATAATCCATCCAATTTTTCGACTTTTCATCGAGAACAAAATATTGTCCATAAAATGGAAGCTTTTGTTGTGCAGCCCTAGCTCTGCTCTTTGGGACAGGATAGCTGCTGATCTAAACATGTATGTAAGTATTATACTAATACTTACATACATGTTCAGATTGTTCATCATTGATCTATGCAGTGAATCAATGATGCAACGACGGATGCACTGAAGCCTTTCTTCAACTTATTGCCAAAATCCATGACAAACTCTTGTAGACCTGTTCGTTCCCATTTTATTCACCGAAGTTACATCTTCGACAAATACTTCCGTACATCATTTTGTAGATGCACTCATTCCTGCTTGTATTGCAGTGAATGATGTAGCACCAAAGCGCACTAGAATTATGTTGTCGTGACACAAAAGCGCACAAGGACAAACCTTGTGCCACTATAGGGCAACTTTGACACTGGGAGCAAACACAACACGTCGCTATCAACGTTTATTGTGACACTGAGGAAGCTTACAACAGAAGAGCCCCGTTGGCCCCCGAACCCACCCGCTTCACTGCGGGATGATTAATGTATAGGTCGGTTCGGCCACGATACGTAGCAAATGGCCGAACACTCCGGCCCGGGGGGGGGGGCAACAACAATAATAACAACAACATATAAATAAATGATAATGAAATTCTATCAAACGGCGTCGCGTCTCCTTGAGCGTAGCGGATTGTGGATTGGCGTTGTCGTTGAAGTGGTTGTTGTTGACAGCGTTGCAGATTGAAGAAGTTGTGGTGATTTTCGGTGGTTGGCAGCGGCTAATAGTGGGCGAGATGAGGCGCTTGGCAGTAGTAGGTTGGCAGTGGGCGCTTGAATATTTAGAATAGTAGGTAGTAGAGTAGTAGATTGTTGAGTTGGCAGATCCAATAAGGGGAATGGTGGTATTTTCTCTTCTTGAAGTGGGGTTTGTGAAGTTGTTGTGCTTTTGAAGGGCACATCAACGAATTATGGGGCAGTTGGCAGAAAGTGCATTTTGCTCCACAGTCCTCAGGATGTGAAGGCTTCAGACATCGCTCACAGACCCAGCTTTGTGGCCTGAATCCCTCGGGTCAAGTGTTCAGGATAGCGAGTGCAGCGACCAGATATATGGCTATCCGCATTGTCCTGCGGAATACAGAAGACGCACAGCTTCTTAAGAACGGACCGTTCTAAGAGGGAGCTTAGAGCTTTCTCGATTGCTGTCAGGCGAGTTTCCTGGTTATGGAGTATAGAGTGACATAAGCCTGTGGTCTTTTCTTCCTTGCCCTCGATAGTTTTGAAAAGAATAGAGAATGCGCTGTCCTGGGTAGACCCGCCGTCGAGGAGGTAGTTGAATTCAGCCATGGTGGTGTGTAGCTAAGTTGTACTTTTAGGCTTTTTATATGAATATTTTTGGGGCCCCGCCTCTACTGTCAGATGTTGCTAACAACTGTCGCTGTTTTGCTCCTCCCCTTTATTTTTGAGGCGGCAAAAAGGATTTTTTGAATTTTAGGATATGTTTATACATTATTTACAACCGCTCAAGGTGCGCATGGATTATCATCGCGACAACGCTTAATTAGGTGCGTTGTCCGCATGCTGTCGGATCACTCGAACTGTACTGATTGCTCCGCGAAGCAAAGTGATGGCGAGGCACGGCGAAAGCTGGGTATAACGCAATTTATCCCAGACCGAAACATTATCGGATTCTGGAAAACCTACACAGTAAGAGTACTGATGAGGTAATTAATCCAACAAAAGCTGCCTGGCTTACAGAGGACAGTTCTGATGATAGCAAAATGTCGACAGATGGTAATGAAATGGCCTGTCAAAGTTTGAAACTCCACCGAATGAAGCTACCACGCTTTTATGGAAACGAAGAAGAATTTCCCGATTTGGGTATATTTACCACATTAGTGGATCAAAACAAAAGTTTGACCACAGTAGAAAAAATGTTCTTTCTCAAAGACAGCCTCAGAGGAGGGGCTGAGCTAACTGTGAAAGGGATACAACTGATTCCACAGAATTATACTTGGATGACTGAGGAACTCAAAAGAAAATACGGTAATAAACCGATAAATCGCACAGGAATCGTGCGAAAATTAGAGGATATGCTACCTGCAAATGGCTCCGCGGAGAGTTGCATGGATAGATATGACAAAATTCGTGTCCTCATCAATCAAATGGTATCTGCCGGCCAAGACATCCGGCAAAGTAACGATGCCCTGTGGACGGAAAAAATCATAGAAATTTTCCACAAAATATTGTAAGAAGTGTTCCAGAGCCGTTCAGCAAAAAGGATCGGTCACGATAGAGAATTTAATGAAGGAATTCGATAAGAAAATCTCGGCAAAAATATTTGTAGATTCCAGACTGAGAAACCGTGGAAGAGATCCATCAAAACCTCACTATACATTGTTGGAGAAAAGATTTGCACTTGCAGAAAATGAAGCACTTTTAGTACCAGACAACTACTTGCTCCCGGTTCAATGTGCTAACAAAAACATGGCAACCGAAAATTTCGCCAAATGCACAGATTTCATGATATGTATGTGCGAATATCCACAAGCCCCACATACGTGCCATTGCCCGACAATGCATTTGCAAAACTAAGATTTGAGCGTTCAAACCATCTCCCAATCTCAACAAGCCTCATGGAAATCAAATCCGAGGCTATGGAACTGTATACGTACACATACGAAGGAGAAACGGACTTTAGCGATGAAATCGTCTCTGATGCTTGACAGTGCAAGCTACATAATTATTGAACCATGCAAAATAACACTACAAAAGTTGGTGTTACAAGTGTACTGAAGGTTTCATACTGGATGTTGCATGTTTCACACAAATTGAAACATGGGTAACCATACAATGTGAAACACAAGTATTCAGTATACACTGCGACAAAAACAACAGGTCATCAAACATAACAATTTGACCATGCAGTGATACATGAGAAATGCCACACACTGGTTGGAAATACGGAACAAGTATTCACTCTGGAAGGCACACTACACTACCATCCAGATAATACATCAAATTCAATATTTAAATCCATTGAACCCGATATCAAAAACAGTTGGTCAAATCTTGTAAACGTACAAGATCTCCAGCCCTTGGTAAATACAGTAAAAAGCCACTGGAGAGCAGCTCTAGCAGCTATAGGAGGAATATCAGCAATAATAGGCATCAGGTACCTATTTGGACCGGCCGCGTTGATGCTAGTCTTTCGAATACTATGGACCCTAGCGCTAGCAGTTCTCGGCGTGATTGTGCGCTTCTGAAAGTCTTGTGGTCAACACACACACCAACTCGGTGGCTCTGGCCATACATTCGGTGAAGTTTGTATGGATTTCTACCTCTTCCAGATCTTTGTCCGCATCTATCCTATTAATCTTGCGGGCCTCTTCGTAATCTCGTAGCAGTTTGTCTATTAATAACTGCACCGAGTTCTTGCTAATTTGAATGACATTTATGGCACCCTTTATTTTGTTAATTGCTTCACGGCACGCTTTATAGTTGTCCTCAAATGAAGCGTTTAGTTGGAGTTCCTTCGTATATATTGTAAATTTATCCACGAATCCTTGAAGGTATTGTATGCCGCGAGCAATGGCTTTTTTATGATAAGACATCGACATTGCACAAGGCGTTGTCGTAGTTCAATTCCACAAAAGTAGAACTATTGATACGCTGCTTACCGCAGGGCTAGATAGTGGCTTAGAAATTTGGCCGATGCACCAGAATTGTGCCATTATAAAGCAACTTTGACACTAAGAGCAAACGCAACACGTCGCTATCAACGTTTATTTTGACACTGATTGTGAGGAAGCTTACAACGAAGAGCCCCGTTGACCCCCGAACCCGCCCGCTTTACTGCGGGATAATTAATTAATGTATAGGTCGGTTCGGCCATGATACGTAGCAAATGGCCGACAATGGTATGCTATTAGTATCTCAAAGAAATCTCGATGGAAAAAAAGATGCTCTAAAAAGCTTGAAAATCGGCCATTATTTTGCATCAACCCAATATCACGTTATCCAATGCATAACTCCTGTCAAATATCTAATCTCGTGCTCAGCTGCTCTACTTGAGCGCAGAAAAGATCATAACCATTTTTTTACGTATACTCTGCATTCATCTTTCGCTTCGAAAACCCTCATAGCTCGGCGTCCACGGGTGTTAGGTAACAAAAATAGATTTGAAATCAGCGTTCAACGCTTAACAAAGTATGGGTCCAGTACAGGACCCAGTTGGAAAGGCTTTCTCGACTGAAAAGGCTTCTCTTGTAAGTTGCTAATTGTAAGTACCAATGGCTCAAAGTTCTTCAGAAAGAAAACGTATAAAGGAGAATTCAGTGCAACCGCTTTTAACTCGAAGCTCTAGCTGGGAAATGGTTAATCTCTGTTCGCTTCGCACCGCTTCTTATAAAGAAATTTGCAATATATGCTGCTAAAGGTTAACATGTTATTGACTGCAACTTCATGAAACGATAAAAATACGAGTAGGAAGACAGACAACAATAAAGTCTTGCTGGGTTGAGCAATGATAGCTCGCTTCGGCACCATTTGAAAACGGCGCCAGCGCGGGAATGAAATGTCCGCAATCAATGAACTCGTTTGTCAGACTTCGAAAACACGTTGATCTTGTAAATTCATGTTGCTTGTTTTCTAAACTGTTTAGAAAGGAGACTTTTTTTCAATAATCTCTTTTTGGACCTAATCCAGATTGCTTGAAAGCCCCATTTGAACCGCTCGCATAATTATCGCGTTACCGATCTTCTGACGCAACTTGCCTTCGTTTTTGTTGTTGTTGTTGACGGAAGTAGAAGTTGTAATATGCTGGAGACATGTTCCTTTTCAGAAATGACCACTCACAACTCTGACGAAGAGCATTATTTGAGTCAAATTCGGGAAATTATGAACAATGGCAAACGTCGCAGTAATCGAACTGGAACGGAAACCATTTCTATCTTTGGAATGCAGTCACGTTACAGTCTCAGAAATGGTGAATTCACATAGCATTCTTTTTGATTTTCACTACGCGCGTTCTACTTATCCGCCCGATCAAACTTCTGGCGAAACTGAACATTCTTTGAAACACTCAGAAAAGTTCAGTACTATTTGTCCTGCAATGTTACAGGTGTTGTTCCATTACTAACCACAAAACGAGTGTACTGGAAAGGAATCGTTGAGGAGTTGCTATGGTTCATAAAAGGAGATACAAATAGCAATCATCTTTCTGAAAAAAATGTGAAGGTTTGCGGAAGGTTTTTGATCTTTTTTTATGTTCAGGACCTTTCCTTTTTTGATGGCAGGAGTTTGACGATTCGTTACCAAAGATTTTACTTGAAGTTATCGTCGAGTCATTTGTAACTTAATATGCCAAGTGCACACTATACATACTAACTGACGAGCAGCGAAACTAGAACCTGCTCATTTCCAGTGATTTCTCCTTGTTTCCTTGTTTCTTTCGTTCTGGTTGGTTATATCTTAGTCAGTGGAACACATTTCTACACCTTGTTAGGCTAGAAAATATTTTACTGGGAAGTTACTAGTATTGGTGCCGTCGCTTATAGGGCTTAGTGTGCAATCTCACATATTAAGTTACAAATGACTTGAGGTTAGTTACTGTTGGTTCGGAGATTTTGGATATCATCGTATACAAAATGTGTTTTATTGCCCGATTTTCTTTGCTTATTCATTCTAATCCTGTTCTTGTTACCCCATGAATCAAACTGCTTCGAATTACCAGAAAAGACATTCTGTTACACTCTAGCATGTTCTTTTTGACTTCTAGATATGGGATGCAAATGGATCGCGGGAGTTTCTCGACTCGCTTGGTTTCACAGACAGAGCACAGGGCGATCTTGGTCCAGTTTACGGCTTCCAGGTATCTTTTTTCATAAGTTTCGCTTCAGTATGCAGCGTTGAACTATTTCCAGTGGCGGCATTTTGGCGCTGAATACAGAGGTCCAGACGCGAACTACGAGGGACAGGGTGTTGATCAGTTAGCGGACGTCATCCACGAAATTCAAACGAATCCAGACAGCCGCCGGATTATCATGAGCGCCTGGAATCCTTGTGGTAAGTCGTGTTGTTATTTTTTTTCATGCATACGAGTTTCTATGTCGTTCACAGATCTGAAGTTGATGGCTTTACCACCATGCCATACTCTTTGCCAGTTTTTCGTTATGGACGAGGAGTTGAGTTGCCAGCTCTATCAGCGCAGTGGTGATATGGTACGCTTTGCTTCTGTATCGTTACTCTCTTCTTTATATCTTTCTTGTGTTTTTTTTCAGTCCGCTTATCGTTGCTTTGTAGGGGTTGGGTGTACCATTCAACATCGCCAGCTATGGTCTCTTCACTCATATGATTGCACATGTCTGTGGTTTGAAGGTGTGCGATTTTTGATTGTTGGCGCATGCCGCCTTGTATTACGTGAAGTTCTTTTTGGAGACTACCTTCAGTGTTTGGAAGCCATACATCTGATCAATTTGTATTTATTCTAGGCTGGTGATCTCGTTCACACTCTTGGTGATGCGCATATCTATGTGAATCACATCGAAGCACTCCAAACACAGGTAAGAGAGTGGAGATTAGTGCTGAAGGTGTATTTGTAATTCCAGCTGAAACGAACTCCTACTGCATTTCCTACCGTAGAATTTGGCGATGGAATCAACAGCATTGATGACTTCACGTACGACAAGATTATCCTGAAGAACTACCAACCACAACCTGCAATCAAAATGGAGATGGCTGTTTAAATTTTTTTCCTTTAGTTTTTTACATTTTCACCATGTTTTGTTAAGTTTTCATTTTCCGTTTGTAATTACTTTTTTTCAAACTTTTATTTGGAAGGTTCTGAGCGGCATACGGGTAAAATCATGCTTGCTGAAGAACTTGGGTTGAACTTGGCATATTTTCGCAATCTACTCACTCATGTCTGTGACCGACTTTCTAACTTCTCATTCTCCATGGATCATCGATTTGATCACACCACATTCCTCGAAGTAACCTCTATGCAATTTGCTGCCTTTTTTCAAAGAGTAAAAGTATTACCGCGAAAACCTAAGTTTTGTGTTGAAATGACTTATCCTGTGTGAAAGATTATATATACCAAAACACCCATCAGGGATTATGTCAGATTAATCTTTCATCATGAAATTGTGAAAGTATAGCAGGATAGAAACTGTAAGACAGTGTGAATACCTTAGGACCTACATTGTGGTCTTCGGCAAGTCATCTGTAGTATAGTGCCCGCTGTAAAGTCAGATATACATTCTTCGTTCACAAATAGGCAAGCCAGTACTGTGAACTATCACCGTATCGCCACTGCCGGTCCTACTCTTCTCAAACAAAAAATGGAATTTTTTATGATTTTTTTCCGAGTTTGCTTCACTGCTGAATAATTATGTTGTGTCCTCGAGGAGTATAGCAAGGCGACGATCGATATTCAAATACGTGTAATACGATTTTTGTCGCCGATATTGGCGATCGCCAGTCGCAGCGACTGGCGATCGCCCGTCGCCATGCTATCCTCGAGGAGGATAGCGCCTCTCTATGCAAGTCAAAACATGATTAGACATATGTTGATCGCTAACACAATGCTGAGAGATCATTTTTTACAAATTCATGGTTTCAAGCGGTGCTTCAAATGTAGGCGTATTCTTGTATTTGGCGAAGTCCACGGTGAGTTTTTAGCAGGATAAAGAGTTCGATGAAGAGTTTTGAATGCGAGTGCATGGGGACTACCCAGGATGGGGTCAGCTGAAGAACTTTGGAATTTTCTCAGCTCATTTTGTGATATTATCGATCACTGAAAATCAAGAAAACCTACTAAGGCTGCTGTTGACGTCATACGAGCAATACTACATCCTCAGACTTTTGAGGATTCATTGTGTATTTATGTTGTTGCTGTATTTCTCGGTGGATGGATTATTTTGTTGACGTTCGTCTTCTCCTATTGGCTGGTGGGCTTTTCATTATTTAGTGTTGACTATAAATTCAACTGTCATGTATTATGAGACTGAGAGACTCGAAGCCGAAGCCTTGGACACATTGTCAAGCTGTGTTGTTTAGTCGAAGGCAGTGTCCAGGCAAAATCTATCCCCCCTCCCCCCACCCCCGATTAATACTAGTCTACAAGGACCTAGGGGTTGGACATCTCGCTGGTCCTGTCCTCCAATGGGCCTATGAAGGGAAAAAATGGACTTGGAACCTGCAATAGAGCTACAAGCCATGCCCCACCTTTCACGCTTTGCCCCGCAGGTGCTGGAAATCGTCTGTGCAGGATAGGGGCTTTGCACATTATGCGCTTCATATCTATTATCAGGGCACGGAAAGGCCTCAGAATACAAAAATATGGAAGACGAAGATTTGCGTGAATGCTCCTTTAGCAACTTTGACAACAAAAAATTATTTTTTTATAACTAGGAAAAATTCGATATTTGAAGTATGACAAACGTCAAGAAGTTTGTGAAGTTCTCAAGAAATTGTCGGGCGACTTTTTTGAATCATTATAGCGTTTGATTAACAAATTGAGCTTTGCTCCAGTATTCACATCTTTACGCAGAATTCATGAGTGGAGAAATTTACCTGTTTAGAACTGTAGTTAAAACTGATCGAACAAGATTTTACTTTGCACATTTCAGTATTTTCGTGCTCCTATACCCAACTATACTTACGAGTTGGTGACTGTTAGTAATGTGCAATCAGCTGGAAGAGACACAATAGTAAGTACTCTCTTCATTTGATACGGGCAATTCATCGCATGCAAGGACTGGGTGCCATTGCGTCCGACTAAGAGAGTTTGCGCATGGGAGAGACAGTAGACGGTGCCAGGAATGAAGGGGCGCTCGATCGATAAGACACTGACAGGTCCGTAGTTACGCCCTGTCTTTGCGTGCTATGATTCGCCTACGTATAACGAGATTAGCTCACCGCAAAAACTTCTAAATAAAGGTTCTGTCGTTATTAACCTGTTTTTTTTGTGCTTAAAAGAATTTTCCATTTGAAGTCCACATTCTTTCTTTACGCTGCCATTCTCGTCAAGAAAAAAACTTTCCAGTCAACCTCGGAGTGTCAGGACCAAGCTGCAGGCGGTTCAGCTCGTGGCAGTACTAGCGATGGACGTTCGCTAAAGAGCAAAGAACCATCGGAGCTGGCACGTACCAGCAAAGAGTTATCCCAGAAGTACCATACTCCTGAGCTTTTCGCCTATGGTGAAGCACCAACACAACAGGTTTCGGTAATGGAAGATAAGGTAGTTGCCCAAGAAGGATAAAAAAAGAAGAGACATTATAATAAATCAATCTTTGAATATGTAAAGTAGTCGCGTTAAACTGTGGAATTAATGGGCTTAATAAAGAAAAGTCTTACAAATCTTGTTGCGAGTAATGTGGGCGGGATTTGCCACGTTTATCGTTTTCTCCTCACTTCCTTATTGGCGGAAAGGGCACTGTGGGTGAGCTGGCGCGACCGTTACCTCTCCAATCATATCGGCTGCATTGGCAATGTGGGCGGAGCTTGCCACACCAGCCGTTTCCTTCCCACCCTTCTACTGGCTGATGAGGCGCTGTAGGCGGGTTTTGCCACATCTACCGATTCCCTTCCCATTCTTTTATTGGCTGAGCAATGTGGGCTGGACTTGCTACACCTGTCGTTCTCTCTCACCTACTCAATGGCTGGGGCATTGTGAGGTAGCTGCTTTCGCGATGTTTCCTCTCTATTTTCCTATCGGTTGGAGAGGCAATATGGGCGGAGCGTGCCAGCAGTTTTTTTTTTCGTGAAAATACTGCTTGTTTGAACAATCAAAAATCACCTGAGCAATCGAGAACAGACTTCATAAATAAATTATTTATTCTCAATACTTTGAAACAAGTTTTTTGTTTTACATCAACAGCTGATAGGTAATAATATTGTAGGGAATAATACATATATGTTGTAGTCATTTCGCTCGTAAAGTCCAGTATTTTGGCCCTATTCCGCAATTGCGGTCTCAGCCTTATATTTCTGACGGCTATACCGTTACATGGAGTGAAAATGGAAAAACAATAGAACATTAAGAAAAGGGAGTCTTTTCTATACAAAAATGTTAGTACTTGGAAATTCTTTAACTACAAGGGTTACGGTATGCTTAGATCGAATCGAAACGGTAAATCAAAGAAAAATGACGTCATTCACAAAAATGCCTTTTAGTCCTTCTCGTCCTCCTTGTTTACGTCCTCAACTCTATAATCCCTCCGACTCGCGCCAGTTCTTTTCGACTGGTCGTGATTTTTGCGAACGGATTTGGTCATGGCTAGTGCTTGCAGTAAATCTAAATTTGATAGGTTACGGTATGATTACGGTATTACTGCGTTGGTAATGTCGTTAGGATTACCTTGAAACTACGGGGACAAATGCTGTCCTACGAACCACCGCAGGTGAATTGGCCGGTGCGGCGCGGAATTCTCTGAATTTGAATTGATCAATACGTTTGTCTGACATGTGGCTTGATTACCTGTTTGTTACCCTCACTGGTGTCGCATATAATGGCTCATCGGCCTGCTCGAACATACTCTTCGGACGAGTTCTTCTGTCGACGCGTGGACTTTGTGCAGTCGCACACTGACGGCGGTCTTGTGGTGGACTGCGATCAACATATATGCGACTGGCTCGGAAAAGCATATCCGCATTCTGCAAAGAGGGATTTGTCATTTGCTCAAATATTCATTAATTTGTAGTGGAATTGGCCGAGCAAATTTATTAATTCGTAAGGCTGCGTCCAAAGTTGCCTGGTGCCAGCGCCGTGCCGAATTTGCGCCGGCGAGGGCGATCGATAATTACGCTGACTGCGGTACGGCGCCAACGTGGGCAACTCTGAGCTGAGTTTTACTATAAGAACAGGTGCAAAATAATGTGCACGCTAGAAATTTTTACACGCTTGAATGTAGGCGACCCTCTCCCCGCACCCCATGAAGATTACGGTAGCGATCTTACCTCGACTTTGCCAACTTTGGTGATATCAGGCTTCTGAGCTGTCCGAAGTGGACGATTTGACTGTGGCGACACATTTACTGCCAATCGAATAGGTGCCAATGGTGAGCGGGGTGGCTGCAATTACCGTAACCTCGTACTACGGTAAGACATATCCTCTGCGTCTCTCACCTGCCCAGCCACGCCCATTTTACGATGCACTGGTGGTGGGGTGATTTGCATAAATGTTTGTGTGTCGATTAATGAGTCTCGACTAGGACTGAAAACACATTTTTTACTATCAGTACGGTAGTAGTACGGTAGCGCTGTGTACCTATGTTCTTCTGTACGTTCAAACATACTACGAGGTCGTTGCTGTTGTTGTCTACGCCATGCTCGAGCTACTTTATCCGAACGAAGACTGGTTGTTGATGCAATAGTGGTGGCCTTAATTAGAATTGAGATACTGATCTTGTAAACAAATTAATTTGAGTTTTAAAGAGCTGAATTAGGGGCAAGAAAACCGCTGCTACTACGGCAATTTGAACCGAAATGTGCGCGTCTGACTGAATATCGATTCAATCGCTGGAATACCGTGTGCGCGCTGCATACGCAACGCGGCGCGGCTCTCTCATTCGCGCGTGAATAGCCACTGTAGAACGCAGTAATCTATTTCAAACATACCACTATTGGTATTGATGGCGTACGCATCGGTGGTTCGTTATTCATTGTAGGTGTTGCTTCCTTTTGCTCAATTGATAGTTTGCGATAAGTCGAATATGGCATGGCTTGAGGTGGACTGAAATGGGACCATGGTCTAAAGTAATCAATCATTTTTGCATACAGTAAACTTGATTACTTCCCTTGTATACAGTTCAATGTTTATGCAAAGTATACTAACAACATGCCCCTACTCTCATACGAATTTCCGCGCGAGGCTTTGCTTAGGTCAGAAAAATTTCGGGTTACACAATGGTAGAAACCGCTAATCATTCTTCGAGGGTCGATTTCACAGTCTATATAATTTCGAGAAAGTTCCCCCTCCGTACGAAATTTTTGACACAAACTTATCTATACTGTCATATATAGGATTTGCTGCCAGTTTTGGTAAAAAAAGATCCAGAGGATCAGCTTTGAAGAGACATTTTAGTTCTTTAAAAAATTAACAGACTTAAAATTTGTACGTTTGTAAGAAAACAAAAAAGTGCTTTTAGAATTTATGTTGAAGCTGCAGCGAAAAGGGAAATCTGAAAAAAATTTGCTTCAAAATTGCGCTGAAAAAGACACCCATTAATTCTGCATCAAATGGTTTTATTTTTTCAGTCTCATCAATTTCCAATCAAAAACCGTTTTATGAAAACATACTTATGGTTGATGGAACTATCGCCTTAATATGAAATCTAAATTCATGCATATCTCATGGCGGGACCCAATTTCTGACCAATAGGAGCGCGAGTTGCAAGTTTGTTCAACTACGTTGCGAGCGTGCTATGTCGTGCAATTTCATACCTATTCCTTGGTAGGACCCACTTTTTGACCAATGGGAGCGTGAGTTGCAATTTTATCGAATTTATTCGATTACAACATGTTAAGAAGAACTAAACGTTACCTTGCTTCATTGCTATAAACACTACTGCAGCCAGAATCGCAGCTGACCGACGATCGGTGACTGATCGAAGGTGAGGAGCATCGAGTTGATGGGATTGTCTGAATAACAAATATCGATTATGAGGGTCAGTTTTAACTTATTCAGTGCTAAGTTTTTCCCTTCCCCTTCCCCCTTCCAGGCCCTTTGAATAAATATAACCCCAGATTTGCAAGTTGCAATTGACGATTTGCATCTAGATCAGATAGGAAAGTGCATATCGCCATAAATTAGGCGTCGATGTAGCGAGATATCCTAGGCGCAAAGTTCGGATCTCTCGAATTCGGCCGGCCACCACGTTGGCCAACGCCCTTTCATTATCTGCACGTCTCTAAGTCCACATGAGAAGAGCGCAGCGAAGCAAGTGAAAGTTCGAAAAGAGAGAAATGTGAAAATATGCCGAAAATTTGGGCTCAAGACAGGTTTGGCTATAGCTGGCCGTCGCTAAAAGCGGGATTTTGCAAATTCCTTTGGTCAAATTATGGAGTGGACGTAGGAGCTACCGTAATCCAAACGTTTTTTCCGTGGCAGGGTTCGTTTTTTGGCGAATGGTGGCGGGAGCGAGAACAACTGAGGTTGTTTGACTATCAGTTTAAAAGTATGAAGTGAGCGGGTATAAGAACTACCGTAATCTGATTTTGCTTTTCTTTGCGGGACCCATTTTTTGACTAATGGCAGCTCGGAGCAGGACTCACAGTCATGTTTGGCTATCTTGTTAGTGATAAAAGATTGGATATGCTAATAAATACTGCAGCTAGTGGTTTTTCGTGGCCAAACCCTTTCTTTGTTTTTTGACCAATGGAGTGCGAGCGGCAGGTCTGTTTGGCTAGTTTGGCAGGGGGTGAAGGAGTAGACATGTAAATCACCGAACACCAAATGTGCATTTCGTGATAGGACCCATTTTCTGACCAAAAGGAGCGCGAGTTGAAACTTGTTTGGTTGTCCTCTTGGTAGAAATAAAACGAGTGACCCTGAGAATTTTTGAACTTCAGCGTATATTTCGTGGTGGGACCCACTTCTTGACCAATGAGAAGTTGCAAAATTGCTTGGCTAATAATCTAGTGGAGCATGTGTTAATGAGAAAAGATGTCAAAAATGTTTGAATATTGGTTTTGTAAAAGTAGCGGGCGGTTAACAAAAGACACCGTAATCAATGCGCATTTCGTGGCCGGACCTACTTTTTGACCAATGAGAGCGCGTTTCGAAATTTGGCTTTTTTTCGCTTCCTTTTTGAATTGGGGGAAGGAGCCAAAGATTTTTTAATACAAAAACTGTTGTAAAATGAAATTATCATAAATTTGATACCTGAATTGAGCTGACTCCACTGTCAACGCTTTGCAACGAAGATCGATCTGAAGCTGCAGTTCTTTTAATTCTAGCCTGTACATCAGCACATCCGGGTATTGTCGGTAGCCGACCGCGCATCTCCTGGAAAAAAAACTCGTTGTCACGACGTTGTCACGACCTCCCGAGAGTGAATGCCTTACCTGCATAAGTCTCATATGCTTCGAGCGCAGCGCATCCAACTGCATCATACCCTGACGACATGCTTCTAGTCGAGCACGAATTTTCACATCACCATCAACAGCGAATTTGTCCGCAATTGCGTCTTCGTCATTATCGACAACAACAACACGGTGTTGTTGTTGATTATCGATGTCATGACGAAAACTTAATGACATGTCCGTATAATCCCGAGGCGGTGGTTCCGGCGGTGGCGGACTGACGCATTCTTGCGTCGCACTCGCCACACTCATACGAACCCTATAAGGGGATAGATGAGTTATTTCTAGGAAAAGCCCAAAGAGATCACGAAAGTAGATAAAGCGGCAGGTTTGGGTGATGTATGAATGGTTTCGTAAGGAAATGGCAAAAAAGTGTAGACAACTCTTGTCCAATTGAGCAAGTATACTTCTTGCATCATCATTGAAACTTGAGGTGGTCCAAAAAAAATGAAGAGGCGGGAGGTATACTGGAAAAGACAAGGAATGTAGAGGTTTTCTAGATTTTGCTTATGTAAGGTGATAGAATTGATCTGTTCAATTTTTTAGATAGGGTGTAGGAGCTACCGGCATTTCGTGGCGGGACCCAATGTTTGACCAATGGAGGGGGGAGGCGCGAGCGAGAGCGGAAGTCGTAAAATGTGCATTTTCAACGAGGGAAAATTTATTCTCTTCTTGAATGCCATCAAAAAAGGAGGGATGGAAATATAGGATAAAATTTTTGTTGGAATTTGGTATGAAAGCATCAAGCAAAGAAGCAAGTTTAGAACCTAGCAGTTTTGGAACCTTCTTGTGACAAAATTATTGTGAATATTTGAACAGGAGAGAGACAAATTTTCAGCTACATTGAAATACCAGTATAACTATTATAATGTTTAATTATGTATCATTGAAAGAGTCAAAATTTATTGAGTTTTTTGAAAATTATTTTTCTAAAAATTTCTGGCAGAGATATCAGCAACTCCGTTCGTTTTTGTCTGAAACAGTCTGCTGACCATCCCAGGGACCCCTTTCCAAGATCTTTGAGAATAGAAGACCCTTAGAATAACTTGTAAGCTCAATCAAAAACTTTGTGTGAATCAAATACTGCCAAGAAATTGATTTGATCATAACCAAATTTCCAAATAAAATTTTACTATTGAGCTAATTTTGATAAACTTGTTTGAGAAAATTTTGTACAGCAACTTCTTCTTTACTGGCTAGTACTTCTTGCTAAGAAGTGTTCAGGAGTTGAACATTTGATTCGTCAATACATAGAGGCAAGACATAAGAAACTGGAAGTTTAAAAGGGAAGTGCACAAAAAAATGCCAAAAATTGGGATCTAAATGCGTGCGTTCTATCAAATCGCAGTATAAAGATTCGGTCATTGAAAAAAAAGAGTTTGAGAAGGTGAATAAAACGTTTGTAAAGAGACTAAAAACTTCTCCTGATTTAGTGCAATATACGAGAAACTATCTAAACTATCTAAACTTTTCGCTTAGTCGTTGCAGGTGAAGAAAATAGATCTGTTCTTCTTTCTTAGTCAGGAGGATTTCGAAGGTAATTTTTTTTATTTAGCAGAAATATGTAGAAACCCTCTTCTGACAATAGCTACAGAGTCCCGATAGAAGAAAAAAACTGCAAAAGAAAACAATTGAATTTCCGAAGCGGGAACCAACAGTGGACATCAAACAAACTTTTGCGATGGCTAAAGTCATGCATTTAGCATTGTGCTGAACAAGGCTGAAGAACCACCAAGCACAGTGTTCAAGTGCTGCGCGTGAACTTTAAGCAAATAATGGACAGCTGATCGTTGAATGGAAGCAATGTCAATAGCGGCTACCAAGGGTCGGGCGGAGCCTTAAGGAATTTCTAGGAGAAAAATCTTCTGGAAAAACCGTGTTATGAGAATAAGAGGAGATATAGCTCAAGAGAATATTTGTAGCAAAGTGGAGGTTTAGGGGGACCCTTGAAAACTGGTCGAATGGTCTGAAGAAGTGTTTCAAAGTAGCTAGCTTTGAATAGCGCTGGAACGCCACCGGCACTCACCGCCACTGCGACGACGCCGCCACCGCCACCGCGGCGGCGGCAAACGGAACCGGCGGCGCGGCTACGCTCGCCACAAGTGCATTTTGACGAACGCTGAGATGTATTGAGATGAGATGAGCCGCGCTAGCCGCTCGCGCTCCTTCAGCCGTCCGCATTCACCAAGACCTCCACTTACAACCGGCTCCACAGCCCACGATGAGTTCATTAGTGGAGTTTTTTTAGTGCTGTTGGAGAAGAGCTCTAACAAAGCCAAGTGCACTTTTCGTTGCACTACGCGCAATCTCTCTTGCAAGCGAGAAAATGTGCTAATCTTTTTGATATCCGGTATGATTGCCATTTCTTTGAAAGATATTAGTGTGTGAAGAACTTCAAAGTGATTGAGAGTATGATGGAGAGTCGATAATACACGGCTTGAGTGGCCAGGGGATCGCTGCAAAAGAAGTTCTCAGAAAAATCCGTAGATTTCAAGATTCTCTTTAGGCCGTACTTGCCCGACACCCTCATAAAGTTCTAACCGAAATAATAAGGATAGCCCATTACGATTATAAAAAAACGACACTCTAGGCTTCTCTCATGTTCTGTTCGATTGGAGCCCCTCTTGGCCGCATTTTTTGTTGCTACGCCCGGAATCCATGTTAACGAACTTTAGGGCACTATAGTGGAAGGATTTTGCTTTATGAGCAGGAAATCAGTTGTAATATCATTGATTTCTTTCCACTTTACTTTCCGGGACAAATCGGAATAAAAAAACATCAAAATCCATTTTTTTCGGAAGAGGAGGCAAACATGATATAGGAAATAATATTTCCCAGTAAAAAACGGCGTTTGCGTTTTGAGAGGTCGAAAATAAAAACTTTTTCAACCGTAAATTAAAATTGTCGGTATTGGTTCATGCTTACTGCGCCCTGGCCATAAAGTGAGACTCAACTCGTACTCACTATACCGATTGGGCGGGGCTAGCACCAGTGGGCAGTGCTGACCCAAGTCTGTGATAATTTTGAGTCTTTCTGCTAGGTCAGATCATTCAATCGAATAGTAGTTAGAACTTTGTGTAACTTTCTTTGGGTGAGACAGGGGAAGAGAAAGGCAAGAATTTATTTTATGGGAGTTCAGCTGAATACTAGCCTTAAAAAATCCTTGTGAAGCTTTATAATTTATCAACTCATAACCTTGATTTTTGCAAAGTTGGGAATTTTTTTTTACAAAACTCGGGCACTTTCCAGAATTCCATACAATTCTTATTTATGTGTGAAAACAAATTGCGTAGTCGTAACTTCAGACGACCTTCCAGGGATTCTGACACCTAGCGAAAAGGTCCCTTGATCTCGTCTTCTACTCCCCCCCCCCCCCTCCGTCCTCTCTTTTTTCCGCCACTTTTCACTGATAAGAATCTTTTTTAAAGAATGTGATGAACAGAGTTATCCGACTGAAAGAAGGGCGGAGTCAAAAAATACATTACTCTATATTACTCGTCTCACAAAAGCAAAAAAGGAAAGGAAACGTAAGGATGGAGGATGGAAAGGGTGAGCGAATGGACTTTGTTGTGAATTAGGATTTAACCCATAAAAGCTGACAAAGAGCCTAGTCGAAAATGTTCCAGAAATCTCTAGAGAACATGGGAACACACTAATAGAGTTCATACAAGGAAAGTGATGGTGTTGAGCAATTAACATTAAGAGATGAGAACTTGGATAGACATGCAGTAAACCAGCCAGAGATGTGTGATTTGACCTAATTCTTAGAAACGCGCCTCTTGTTTGATGGAGAAGTTCTAGTCCTATGCGCATATATGGGTAAGCGATAGGCAAAATAACTCTTAGTTACTTGGAAAGTTTAGCAAGACCTTTTGCTGAAAAAATGATTATAATTTTTCCAAAAAGAAAATTTTTGGCTACATAACAACCGCAAAACTATTCTTTCAACATATGATGAACGTTTCCGTGCTCTCAATATTTTCGCTATTGTTAGGATGGGACTATATGTCGCCGATAGGCTCCACCCTGCGCGGACAACTGGTACAATTGTGTAGTGCTTGTAATGTGTGGAGCTGAGCATTTTGTCACAGATGTCTGCGTACCACCTCCTTTCGGCGACATATAGTCCTCCACCCCAGTTGTTATAATCAAAAATCTGATTTTGAACCCAAAATCCCATAAAAATGCGTATTTTCCAAAGAGTTAAAATTTTGGCAAATTTTTTTATTTGACTCACATTCAAACCTATAAGGCCACTAATTTTCAAAAAATCCAGAGATGATAATACATGCATTTGAAAAGCTTTCGTGATTGGGGGCGTTTTGTCCGTAGCTGCAGAAATTGTTGCGTTACCACTTATAAAGCCTTATTTAGCAAAAAAAGAATTGTTATGCTTACATATTATATTTTTAATGCAGCATTGCAACATACTCGATGCGGCGACGCGGCTCATGTCTGCGTCTCTTCAATCCACGTTCTCTCTCTCACCAAATTGGCGCGAAAGCCGTGCTGCTGCCGCGCGCAGCTCTTCCAATAACTTCATGCAGATGCCTTTAGTGTTCAAAACAGGGTTCGTAGGATTTACATGGAATTTGCTCTAAATTGCACTAAAATTTGCACTTTTGCAACTAAAAGTTCTGAAAGTTTTTTCACACGATCTGGAAAAATTCTTGGAATTTACCTTCTGGGAATCTTCAATCCCAAACCAACAAGATTTTTTATAAGAAATACCAAGTTCAAAATCTACTGTAAAAGAATGTATAATGTTGAAAGACAAATAGAGAAAAAAGAAAGCTAAGCAAAGTACGTGACTGCAGAACAATGCAGTTGACCCTAGCTCCACCTCTTCTACCACAATGAACGCGTTGAACTCATCGTAAACTGTCGCCTACTACCCAAAAGAAAAAAAACATGATTTATCGTGTTTGACATGTGCACGCTAATCAGCTCAAGCTATTTTTATGTCCGTCATTGCACAAACATCTCTCGTTACCGTAATCTCCGCCTCAGGTCAACATCACAAAAGGCGGTATTTTTGTACGACAATCTGCTAGGTTTCAATGCAAATGCAATACTCATTAGAAATGCACAGTTCAGTAGTTACAGTATGCCGAAAAACTGTATGATATTGCGATCGAAGCGACAAGGTAAATGCTTCCATTTCACTGCACACAACAATTCAGAAACGCTTATCTACGAGTATGGGCATTGTGATCGTTGTGGGGAGAAAAACACATGAAAGGTCGAAGAGT